TGAAGCTGGAGTTAGAAAAACCCGTTTATTTAAGAAGGTAACAACGTTTTTTGTACTAACTATTTTTTGTATTTTGTATTTAATAAATTATTTATAAGAAAATTTTTTGTTTTACTGCAGATTTTGGAAGGAGCGACTTGTGTTCTTTTTGTCAGTCGTTATTTTATAGATAGTAAGTTTAGCACCAATAAGGTTGTTGAAGGATTGTTTCAAATTTCATGTCAGTAAGTGAAAGTTTAAATTTACTGCATAAAATTTTTTAAATACAAAGGTTTGTTCCGGTTTCCGTCGTACTATCATGTAGCAGAGTGGTCCGATTCCTGATTGTCTTTCTCGCCCCACGCTCTTAGTCTTCTTTCAATACCTGGTATTTCTGGAATTGTTTAAAAATTTGGCGTAAATTTATTGAGACGTAGAGACATTTCTATTAAATTATCTACTCCGTCTAACGTTTTTGCAATTTTGCAATTGTCTAATTCTAAAATCTATTTCTTCTAAATCTAAGTTAGTTAAGGTCTTTTTAGAGACTTTTGGTCGCACCAGATGAGTTATTTTCAAGTCACTGTGCTCATAGAGTAATTTCAGATATATTACACCGTCTGCTCGTCACGCTATCTTATTTTCGGCCGTATAGATTCGTGCAACTTCTTAGTCTAATACCGATCTTAATCTTACTCTTATATCTCTTAGTCTCATTAAATCTAGTGTATACCGGTTTATGCGAGTTAGTTGCCAGATAGAGATAGAAAAACACAAGAGATAGTGTCTCTGACTCTTGAGCCAATGGTTAAAGGGCCTATTTTTCTCTAACCTCATATGCGACTTAAGTAGGCGACTGTTTCATTATTTTTTTTGAAGCTTGTTGTTATGTTTTAGGTGATGAAGCTGGGATGAAGAAATGACTTATATAGATTATTAAAACTAACAATTATGCTTTATACTAACTAATTTTTGTATTTTTCCTTCAATAAAATTTTTCATTAAAATGTCTTAAGTTACTGCAGATTTCGAAGGCGAGCGAATTGTGTTGTTTTTATTGGTCGTTATTGTACAATTAGTAAATTTAGCACCCTTAAGGTCATTGAAGGATTTCTTCACGATTAAGGTCATCAAATGAAAATTTAAATTTTCTGCTGAAAGAATTCTAAATACGTAGGTTTCTTCTGGTTTCCGTCGTACTATTAGAAAATCAATCGGTAGGTTTCTTCCTACTCGTAGATCGTGCTTTGTCCTTGGTCTTCTCGCAATACCTGGTATTTCTCATTTTGTTCGGAAAATTGGCGGAGATCTATAGAGTCGTAGAGACATTTCTAATAAATTGTCTATGTCATGTAACATTTTTGCATTTTTGCAATTGTCCAATTCTAAAATCTCTTTTTTATAAATCTAAATTGGTTTTTTAAGGTCTTGTTTGAGACTTTTGGTCACACCAGATGAGTTAAGTCTTATAGGCTATACTCATAGAGTAATTTCAGATAGGGTACACCGTCTGTTCGTCACCCTATCTTATTTTCGGCTGGAAAGATTCGTGCAATTTCTTTGTCGAAGACCAATCTTAATCTTACACTTATATCTCCTAGTCTCAGTAGATCTAGTGTAGATATAGCGAGTCAGTTTCTCGAAGGGAGAACAACTGTTTTCTAAGTTTTATTCAATTTGTTTTGGTGCTGAAACTACAAGTAGTTTTAGACTTACAAATAAGTAATAATGTTAGAGATGGAATATGATTGGTTAGTTATAAATATTTTTTAGTGATATTCCATCATAAGTTTAATTGGTCTATAAATGCTAGTTTAGAACTGGTTCCAGTAAGCTCAAGGCTTTTTCAGTAAAAATTTCTTAGTGCTTTTGTCATTGTTGCAGGAATTTTCTGAACCAGTTGCGTAGCAACCGGCTGTCCTTATTCACTGTTTTAATTATCAGTTTTTGGGCATGAAAATTTTCAGATGCTTCTATGGTACAACTGAGCTCCTTTTGATCTCTTTGATTATTTTATTACTGAATTTCGATTCAAAATGAAAAACAAAAGTTTTCATACTGTCCTATCAACTTTGAGTTGGTTTTAAAAAAATTACAGTTGAAATCGTGACTTATAGATTTTGAGTCAAACATCTTATTTTAATGCGCATAATATATTTTGTGCATAACTGAAGTCATTTTAACCGATGTCAAATGATTGTAAACTCAGAGTAGTTTAGAACTTGATCACTTTCCCTGAAAAATTTCATTGCTTTTTGATTGTCAGTTTCATTGAATAGCCAGAGTCTTCCCAGACTTTTGTATTATTTTTTCAACTTTTCTCTTATGAGGGTAAAAACGAAAATTCCGCTCATATTACACATATTCCCATTGTTCATTTTGCTTGTTCAGCAGACAATTTTTAACAAATATGACATTAGTCAATTTTTATGCGAGCCATAGCTTTTTTTGGTATTTGTAGAAAGAAATTACTATATGAAGTAATAAAGAATTTCCGAGAGACGGACAGGAAAATAATCACAGGAAAGGTTTGGCAGCCAGGTCTACACTGCGTAAAATAAAAATTTTAAGATAATTGCCATGAAATTCAAACACTGACCATTATAATTTTTTTCTAAGAAAAATTTGATGAATAAGGCGTGGAAATAATTAGAGAACAAGCCAAAAAAATTTTTAAGGCTCTAGAAGACGTATAAAGGCAAAAAATTGCTTGCAGAGCAAGAACACCTTTTTAGGTGTTAAAATAAAGAAAATTTTATTAATGAAAAAGGTTTAAGAGTACTTTATATTAGGTACGTGCGTTCAAATTAATTTATCAGTTAACAACTATTATTTCATCATTCACCAGCTTTCCTGTTTTGAAAAAAAATGCCCAAAATTTTTACACGCTGGGAGATAGCGATTCTCTTGTTATACATGGAGCTCAAGCATATGGCCGAACGGCTAGGAAATTGAATAATATTATGTCGTATGTTTGCAGGTATGCGTTTGTTTTAGTAGCTAAACTGGTGATATGTTACAATAGGTGGTAATTTTGAGTATAATGCATGTTTTAAATTTCAGAACTATAATGCATAATATAGTCATTTCATTTTCAATCAAATGTGCTACTCTTAAGATAGTGTTGTAAATACATTACTCTGCCAAATGAAATGCTATTCAAAGATGCAAGTTTTGCACTTTTTTGCCAGAAAATTTGGCTTTCCAAGCAAATTATAATTAATGTGAGAAGTATAACAAAAAACGATCCAGCTATTGAAATTGAACCTTCCGCCTATTGTAATATATCGCCGCTAAACTATATTCAAGAGCTCAGTTAGAAGAAGTTATAATACCCATTGACAAAGAACATCTTTTTTTAAGGACCACTGCCGAAATCAACTTTTTGTGTGGCAACATTTTAGTTTTTTTTTCAATCGCTGGTGTTATCGCTACTTGTTGATTTACAGGTAACTTTTTCGTCGCATTGTTTTTTTTCTAAATTAATTTCTCACTTAGTACGCGATGTAAATTTATTTCTAAAGAAGACTAGGTTGAGTGACGTCATTAAGAAAATTTTAGATTTGGAAGTTTGGGAAAATTGACGGGTCATATGCACTAAACAGCCCAATTTCATTATTTCTACATCTCTTGAACTGAAATTATTGAGGATGAATTTGATTGGCTAATTAGCCAATCAAGTTCCATCGACCTTTTCTGCCATTTCAATTGAAATTTCAAGCAGATAAAATTATTAGCCGAAATGATAAAGAGAATTAAATTTTGTTTTATCAACCCATTTTTTTGAATCTTGCTTGTCTGGGCAAGATTTCACAAGTGACTCAAAATTAATTTGATAATTTAACTCAAAGTTCCACCTTTTCGGCAATTTCTGCTAATAATTTTATCTGCTAGAAAATTGATCGGAATGCCTGACCGTGTAACTTGAATTTGATTGGCTAAAATTACTCTATCAAATTTGATCGCATAATTTCCAGCCACGATGTAGAAAAATTGATTTTGGGCCCTTTAGTGCATAAGACCCAAATTGACAATTTGGAACTCTCTTGATAACATACCCAGTGGTTCGATCTTCAAAAATCTTGCCAAGTTCATGACTATTTTTGGATTATCCATGTAACAAGGCTATCCTGGCAAAATCTTGCAAGATCTGGATAAGTCAGCCTTGTTACTTTTCAAGATCTCGGCAACACATCCATGCCCGGTTTTTGCTCGCAAAAAAGTAGTTAATCAAAATCTGGTTATCAAAATCTTTGCAAGAGTGGTATACACTCTAGCATGGATCATGAAAACCTTGAAAGATCATAGCAAATGTTGTGAAGATATCCATGAAACTAGAATTAAGGATGAAAACTCAGAAAGTTTTGCAAATTATTTTAAGAAAATAATTTCACAAATTGTTCATGTTTTTGCATTTTTTAAGAATTTGTTTTCGACTCTTATCGAATCTGATTTGTAAAATTTCAAACTAGAGCTTATAAGAAAAAAAATCTATTGATAAAGAAAGGACAACAACTTTGCTATCATTTCTAACGATTAATGTTTTGACTATAACCAAGGTCTTACAAAATATGCTCAGATATTAGCTTTTGTTTTTATTATGATTTTTTGTCATTTGTTTTTTCAAAAATTTGACACGTTTTCAATATCAAAATTTCAGCCCTTTCGAATTCTTTTTGTTTTCTCGCACTCAGGCAAGTCATAGTGACACTTTTGAAAACTAGTTGGCGAAGATGGGCTATTTTGTTAGATCTTGTAAGATTATTGCAGAATGGACATATCGTGTAAGATTTTGTATGTTAGGGGCTAACAGAATATAAACCTTGGCTAAAAGGTTGCCTTATGCTGAAGAATAAGGTTCGTAACATTTCTGTTAATCAGAAAAAGTACCAACTTTATGAGGCAAATATCAAGTACACAAACAACACATCATTTCCTAAATTTCAAATAAAAAATTTTTTTTTATAGGATTCACTCTGCTTTGATATAGTTTTTTCAGGGAAAATGAAAAACATGCTTACGGCAAAAATTGGTTTTCGCGCAGATGCAGAAGATGATGAGTGAGAGAGCAGCGGAAGCTATGAAACCTGCGAGAAGTATCGGGAACAGATGGACCGACCAGGTCTCAAAACTAAAACGTTTACAAACTCATCGGAAAAACTAACTATTAGTTTCCAAGTTAATCAAGGCGCACATAGTTTTATGTAAGCTTGTTTTTCTGAATTGAAAAACTCCATGAGCCGTTTCAAACATTTCATATGAGGTTTTTAATGTAAAATATTCTCTTAACTACAGTTATTATGTTCCAAAAAGTTGTGTTTAGGAGTAATGAACGTAATAAAAACTCGCATATAGGTCTTGGTGATTTTTTGTCGTTCTTTTTTTCTGGAAAAAAAGTCTTGAAATTCTCTGATAACTACAGATTTAAAATCATTGATATTATTGCATTTATGAATGTACTATGCAGTTTTTGAGTTCAATTGAAACTCATCTACGGAAAGTTACGTAAATGGTACTTTCCAAATGGCGCAAAAAAATGTAAACTATTTCTAGTTTCGAAAGTGGAATTGAATTTTTAGAGTTCCAGCGTAACAATAACTTTAGCTATTGATCAAGTTTTCTCAACTTACGTTCATTACTGTTTTCCATCTCTTAGTTGGCTATATTTTACTTTTAAGCTTTAAAGACGATCTTAGCTCCATGGATTACGTGAAAACCAACCAGACTGCTTGTGTATGAGGGCTGAGCCCATAATATTCTGAGTGCCATTTAACTGGTCTCGAATAGTTTCACTGGTTGGTACCCGCACTCAAGAAAATTTTTTTCACAAATTGGTCTGTATAAAAAAACAGCCCAAATATAATTTTCTCTCTTTCTTCTCGGAAAAATCATAAAAGCTTCAAGCTTCTGTTTTGTGTTTTTTTTTCAAGTATAACTTGAAAAAATGTTTCCAAACCAAACAGGTATCTAAAGTCCGTCACAAAGTGCGTTGTTTATCACCTGCAGTTGTGTTGTTGTTGACATTGGGAAGATTGACAGCACCAAGTACAGTCATCGTCGTCATAACAGTGACCCCCATTTCCCGATGCAAGTTTCAAACAAAGGGCAACACAGACCAAGCAAACCTCTTGAAGCAAATAGTTGCCCATTTTTCTACACTCGCAATTGCTTGTTTGGTGGAGCAAAAAATCTCTATTATAAACAGTAAAAACCAATCGCAGGACGTATGGTAAATTACACAGATCATATAACAAAAATTGACGTTTTATCTGTATATTTTTCGTTACGTAGTATACTATTTAAAATGAGTGCTACGCTGGTTTTCTAGATAATCATATAATTTAACTATATAAAAATCTATGACGTTTTAATGTATTTTTCTTTCTATCGTCTGAAAAAAGATGCTAGCCATTTTTCTCTTTTTGATATCATTTGCTTTTATGCATGATTCAAATATCTTTCCAGGAGCTTACGATGAAAAACTCATGAAGAGCGTATACGCAATTCTTATTTATTGAAAATTCGAATAATGAAACCAGGGCGCGTTGCATTTTGACACCAGCGTTTTGCACAAAATAACTGTCTTTTCCCTTTAAAACCAATTGTACTTCAAACACATGGTTTATTTAGTGGAGCAAAAAACATAATAAAAAGTTACAGCACCATTATGAGGCCAAAGTGTGCATTCATTGCATTGTAAATGGATTCCGCAACAGGCAAAAATCAGATTTGTCGCAGAATCCACTACTTTTCTTTGATCCGCTACTTTTCTTTGATCTTCTCTGCTGTTTTGGATTCCACAAACAATTACTTAAAACATTGTACCGATCAAAATCGCTTCAAAAATTGGTGAATTTGCGGAATCCGCAATTGTATTTGCGGAATCCAGAACAGTTTGTGGAATCCACAAAAAAATAATAGGGTATGTGTATAGGTACATTGAGTTGTTGCGGAATCCGCAATTGTTAGCGGAATCCGCAAATTGTAAGTGGAATCCGCAAATTGTAATTGAATTCCGCAAAATGTAAGTGAAACCCGCAAATTTAAAGTGGAATCCGAATTTTGTTTGCGGATTCCACTTACATTTTGCGAAACCCACTTTCAATTGCGAAGTTCAGAACAACTAGCTATATTTGCTTGATGCGGAATCCGCAACAAAACAAATGTGCCGACAAAATTTACGTTACAGGTATTTGTACGCGGAATTTACGAAACTTTTGTAAGTGGAATCCGCTTACATTTTAGAACAAGTTTAATGAATTGTCTCTGGAATCCAGGAAAATACAGACACAAAATTGTGTGCCTAGCCAGTGCACAGTTTGGCCTCATAATGATAAACTTTGTTAAGGCTGTAGATGAGGTTGAATTGCAATGAGAATGAAATAAAAAATTGGCATTTTCTCTATACAATGTTGCAAAGCAGTCTACAGTTCAATTTGAAAAAGCAAATACCAAAAACATCATCCAAACTTTTGAGACAGAACCGTTTGAGAATACTTTAGCAGCGTCATTTGATCGAAAATTTATTAAACATCCCCATTTTGAGCCTATAAAAACAACGCAGAATTTTTCAACAGACGAGTTCTTGATATTGTTTTTTGCAACCTGAAGTTTAATTTTTATCCATGCCATCAACATGTTCACTAGTTTTTTTAAAAAAAAATTTGGTAATAAAATAATTTTTAGAGATACTGCTCTATAATTGTCAATCTTCCAAGATTCTTGGTTGATTTTTTCTACGCCGGAAAAAAACATAATGAAATTGATTTTCGTTGTTGCTGCTGTTTTTTGACCTGCGAGTCTTAAAAATATCCCGGGTTGCCTACCTATCTAAACGAATTTCTGGTCAAACAATTTTCAAACAAAATATCGATAAAAAAAATTTCTGGAGACAAAACTCCAAATAACGAGAGTTATATGACAAAAGTTTTTCGACACTTTTTTCTCCTGAGTTAAAACTACTCAAACCAATTACGGAAAAACTTAAAGATTCGTTAAGCCAAATAGCATTGACTAAATTCAGTTTCCAGAAATGAAATTTGTGAGACTAAAAAGCTAGTGATTTTATTTTTATACCCTGGATGTTTTTTATGGCTTGTAATTTTCGTGACAACTCTGCATTCAAGCGAACTTTTCGCGAAAAAAACAGTGTAGCCCAAAAGCTGAAATTATTTGAAACTCAAATTTTAAATCGAAAATGTCTCGGTCTAAATCTGTACAGGCATCATAAGTTAAAATAGGCAAGAGAAGAGGGACAGTTAAGGAGCGTGGGGGACAGATAATAGTACAAGAACATAAGTATCTCATAGGAGATGAGAGAGTGAGATAGAGAACTTTAATACTTTGTTGACCTGATATTCAAAACCATATCCCGAACATGGCTCTTTACGAAAAGTTGAAAGCCCGTAAAACATAAAAAGCACATAACTAAAAAAATTAATCTACTTGCTAATTTAAAAAAAATTGTCTTTCTGAAAATTGATTTATAAAGTTTTGGTGGGAAGGTTGCGATCAAAAGTCATTGTATTTATGAAAATTAATTAATTGATGTCAGAATAAAAGTTTTCAGTTTTTTCCTACACGTAGTCAAAGTGTCGAGAACACGGACAGGCCCATTTAAACGTTGCGGGTCTAGCGAGTCGTCCATGGTTGGTCTGTATAGCACTTGATCTTTCCATTACATCCAATCGGTGAAAAATAGGGCGTAAGAGTCTCAAAAACCGTGAGGCGTGAGGTTTTTCTAGAATTCAGACGCGTTCTCCTGGTTGTATATTCTCGGTGTTTTCCGTCAGTTTTCGTCGTTGACTGAGTAAAGGCAAACGATTTCCTTATACTCAATTTCAGAATTGATGGTTTAGAGCTTGTGCCTGTTTCCAAGAAGTCTATTGCGGCTGATAGAAACCAGTTGGCAGGTTCACAGATAGTTGTCCGAGCACGTTAAACAGTAGATGAGAATTCATGACTGCTTCTACTTCGCAGGCGATTGTAGAAAAATTTCGAAATGCAATGACTTTGTAGATTGAAATCTTGAAACTTTTCACCAATTTTGCCCAAGATCCTCAAAATGTGGTGCGTCTATTGGGTTGAACTTCCATTTCATTTCAAGAAGTTCGTTTTAATCTTTGAACTGTTTTGACTCGTGAAGTAGCTGGAGAATTCGTTGGCTCCCACTAAACATTTGCCGTTGTCCGATTATTTATAGCAGGATTTTCCACGTCAAGAACTGAAGTGTCGAAGAGCTTAAAGAGTGAAGTCAGTCGATGATGTTGAAAATTTCAGTGTGTAATGATCGAGTAACCAGGCAAGGGAAATGCAAAACATATATTTTCTTTGAATTCCGTTGTTCTTCCTTACGAAGGGCCAATGATGTCATCTCCTGTTGTACGGAAAGAGTAATTTTTGTTCTCTAATGGCAATCTGGCAAGATGAATGTCATGCTTTAGCGGCGTGTTTGGGTCTTAGCGAAATTTGTGCCATGGTAGGCACTGATGGATATTTTTTCGGAATTATCATTGGGTGGAGAATCCAGAAGTCCTGTTGTTTGATGCTGCGGTAGTGTTTACACCAAAATCGCGAATACTGTCGTGAATATTTTGCAAAAAGATTGAGCGGATGGTTGTTTTGTGTCCATTATTACTCGGCGACTGCTAGAGAAAAAAGATATTGCTCTGCTGAGTCGTCATTCGGTTTGGAGAAAACCTTGTTTGTCGATGGATGCACTTAGTGCTTGTAGATTGCTGCTATCAGATATTGCTGTCTTTTTACAAAGACGAAAGCTGTCGTTTTTCTTGCGAAAACTCTTGAACTGGCAATTCTTCACAAAATACGCAAACGACTGGACTAGGTCTCCAAATGCCAGCCGGTGTCATTTGAAGATCTCTGTAAAGAGATATGATTTTTTTTAGTGCTCGTGTGCTGAATCGGCTGTAGTCAATTACTGCTGAGGCTGTCTATCTAATAATTTTTGCTGTCGGTTGAGATTGACTTTTTGTAGCTAGAAAATTGATCGATTCTGTATTTTTAATTGAGCGGGCCATTCTGATGAAATTCTTCTGACAAAAGCCGGTCCTTTCATCCACCGAGATTTTGTTGTCATGTCGCAATCTTTGTATCCACAATTTCCATTATTAGAAGAATTGTCTTTGCTAGGTACGTATCTCCAATCTTGTTGGAATAATGAGTTCCAGATAAAGTCTAGGTGGTTGGCAATGAAGATCCGACCTCACAAATTTGGTTAAATGATCCAGTGTATAACAGTTGAAGTATCTGTCTTTAGTGTTGTGCTGTTGAACTCTATGTCGTGCTGTCCATTGACAAATTGTTCAAGTTTGGCTCCAATCGACACGTTTTTTAGCTCCAATTTTGGTACTGTCATGCTTTTGATGGGGATTCTTGCAGTTTTCCGATGATGAACTTCTCTTACACTGTACCTTCTGCATAGCTGATTCTGGAACTGGCATTTTGATTATGTACTTTCCCGTTTTTATCTAATGTCATGTCAGGCAAATGTCGTTGGGCCGCATGCGTTTGTTGTCCCAATGAGGTAGAGTGGTCCAGGCAAATTGAAGTGTTTTTCGAAGTCGCATCCTCAAAGGCATTGTTATTCTAAGTAGAATGAAGTTAGAAGAATCAAACTTGGTTAGTTTGCGCTCGGTGAAATCCTTTTTAACGATCGTTTTAAATTTTTTGACTTCTACTAGAAACTTTTACTACCGCTTCCACTTGACCCTTAGAGCTCTTTCAAGAGTTCTTTCGTCTGATACCAGTCTCTCGCTGTTTCCTATGTCATTCTAGTTGACGTTCTTAAAAACTTTTCAGGCTTGAATGTCCACTTTTTCAAGTTGAACATCTGATAACGAACATTTTTTAATAGTCCGTCATCAATTTGAGGTCTTCGGCTTGATACGGCGTTGCAAAGTAAATGTTTCGATGAGTGTTTTGCATCAAACTAGGGAAGTGTCTTTGGCACATTGACTGTTAGCGTATCAGGCAACACAAGATAAATCCGTTGCACAGAAGATTTGTCGAGTATACTGGCAGGTCATGGTATCGTCTTGGCCGTCTCTCCTCAGTATTCGTAGCTAGAGCTGATCTTGATGCTTAACGAAGACTCTCTTGAAAGTTGCTTCGAGGCCTGCTGACATGACAATCTGCTCTTCAAAAATCTTCTTCAGAATTCCAGTGAGATTTACGAGGAAGCCCGATCCTGTTAGAAGTTTAGTTTTGGAGAAACTCTGTTGAAAATGCTAGAAGCGCTTAATACTCGGCGCTCATTTCAAGGCTTCTTGACTTTCGTCACTGTTTGCTGAGTCACAAACCATTTTC